TCTTTCCCTTCTCACCGGTCTTTGCCTGTTCAAGGTCTGTATAACCTTGCAGCATTGTAACCTTGGATCACACTGCTGTGGAAAGAGCTGCATGAGGAAAAGCAGAGAGAAGTCTGGTCAGAGGCTGCCCATTCTTTGCTCAGGAGCTGCTCAGGAGCTCAGACACTAGACTGTGGTCTCTGCTAGAGCTATGTGGCAGCCAAACTTGGGTCTGGCCATGAACTTTGCTGATACTGACCCTGATCTGCTGACTTGACTTTATGGCTTGATCTTGGATCTACCACCTTACTATGGTCTTGTTTGGATTGCCTGTCTGCAGTCAATGGACCTGTTCTGTTTTTCTTGTTCAGATACTATGGGACTGTACCCTTTGGTGAGGATCCTGCCTCATGCCTGTCTTGCTGTCACCTTCAGTTCCTGGCTGACCTTCCCTTGCAGAGCAGCCTACTTCTGCTCTCTGATACAGATCTCTGAAAACCAGAAATTCACTGCCACCCCATTGGAAATCTGGTCAGGGTGAGGAAAAGAACCACTACAGATCTATTAATGAGAGATAGATAAGGTATCCATTATAATGTCTGTTCCTGTACTAAAGTTAAGTGGTTTCACTTAGCACTCTTTTCCTATAGCCATCAACAGAATTCTCACTGACATTTTAAACCCACTCCAGGAAGTCTAAGATTGAGATCTATTTCTCACCATGCAGGCCCTTGAGGACCAGAGTCTCCTTCCTGGGCACTATGACCAAGTAACCAGGTACATGCCAGTGCCCATGGATGTTAGAACTCCAGAATTCTCAGCTAGGGAGAAGCTGGTACTCTCCTTTTCTTCTCTTTCCCATTTCAGACAGGGATGTCATCAGGATCAGTATTCACTTGGGATGGGACTAGCAGCATGGATTCCCTGTGCCCAATGGGTATGAGGGCTTGCCTAAAAAACACAGTCCCCATGATGACTTTAACAAGTCCTGAGTATGTCTGGTGACACCAGGATATGCTTATAGTCAAATGACCAGGAGAAGACATCTATTCAAGGACAAGTTCAACGGCAACATGACATCATGTCTGTCATCTAGCCTTAACCACCTAGCAATGTTTGTGAAGGACCTTAAGGGTATCTTCTCACTAGACTTGGACACAGAATGTTCCTATATGGAAAAGTAACCCATTGGTTACCATTGCACAGCCCATCATAACTGTTGGTATCCTTTGTCTGGCTAGAGGGGCATTCTGGGACAGCATCTATGCTCAGATAGCAGAAGAAAAACCAGCACCATCTCCACTAAGCACAAACATCTTGGTCTACATATCCAGAAGTTCTGCTCCTTCCTCAGAAGTATGAAACACTTCCTTCTTCTTTGAGGAACCCACCCCCCCACCTCGCCCCATCAAACTGTCTCCCTTCTTCACTTCTTTCCCTGGCGACTTATAAGCCAGGCTGAGGATTCTGTCTCTTCTCGCCTGGAAATAGGGATGCTGAGCAGGAATCTTGCATTTGTCTTTAAAGCAGAGTTCATCTGTCATGAACTGAGCACCTTTTTGGAAAAGATTCTCTGCCATCAGATTCATGGCTCTGGAGGTCCATTCCCCCCTTCTCAGAAGTATTCCTTGATGCTTTCCACACTGTATTCCCACTGTTGGCCTTAGAAATCGATGCGCTCTTCTCTACAAGGAATTGGTCATGACAGCAAAAATCTGTAATGGGGCAGAGGGGGAATTGAAAGTTTGAAACAGCAGCTGATAGCACGTCATCAGGTGGGTCTGGATGACTAGGAATGACTTCAAGGCTTATGAAGAAATGCTGAAGTAGATTTGCTTTAGGTTTAGTTTTCCCAATGTGAACATATATTTCTGAATTCTTGGTGGTCTTTTTTTGACTCCACATGAGTTTCTGGGACTTCTGGATGGTTTGTGTTGCTTGTGAAAGTTCTTTCAGAATTGGCTTCCCTGCCAGAAAAGCCTAGGAAGATGGGAAAAAAACCCAACCCTTATGGTCTAGAGGCATGAAATAGAATGTGCTGGGGACAAGACTCAGCTTTGTGTGCTTGAGAACAAACTTTACAACTCTGTAATTAAAAATCATATTGCATATGGAGTTGCAGGGACACTGGTTAGCACACACCCTTGGACAGGAAGATGTAACAGGTGTTAGTGTCTAGAATCTGAAAGAGGTAGAAGACCCTCACATGAACCCTAATAAACTGTGAAATTTTGCAGCCAGTATTTAGATTACATGAAAATGCAGGAAGAAAATAAAGAGAGAATTTCCTGTGCTGCATGAGAAACATCATACTAGTATCAATTGCCTGACTTCCCTACTATATATTCTGAGAGCAGAATGAAGTATATTTCTTCACAGAAATGAAAATGGGGTCCGAGGATACTGGTTAGCTGTTTCTGTGTTTGCTGAGTAGGTGCTTCAAGACATGCTGCTCCCCAAGCAGCACTTTCTTCCAGGGGCGCCTGCTGTCAGCTCTACGGGTACCTTCTGGCTAAGGATTACTTCTTGGTTCTTTTGCAATAAAAATCTGGTGTTGATTCAGTTTTCCTTATGGGGATGAACAAAAATTAAGAGGTGGGCAGAGTCCACTGTTTTCCAGCTTGCAAGGAAGGAAGAAGAAAAGTAGATAGGGGCAGGACTCCAATCTGATTGGAGCACAGAGTGCAGCTTTGTTGTTCTCAGTATCTGTCCATATACAGGAGACACTTACCTTCCTGCAAAATGGGTATACATGGTGGGAGCAGCTCAATTAAATAGCCCACTGTTTCATAAGGGAATCTCGAGTCTATATCATAGGTACAGTGAGAGATTAGTAGGGTAGAAGAGAGCATTCTCTATTCTCTTCTGATGCTTCTCAGTTCTGCCACTTTGCTTTTGCAAAGAAATGTAGCATAGGGAACTGACACACATAAGCATGTTCTTGCAGCATAGCTTTGAAGCAGGCTGCATGGGTACCACCCATGGGTTGTGCAGCAAGAGTAGTTGGAAGATTCATGTGGCAGGACCCCACAGCTGAGAGGTGTGTAGGGACTTGTTTTCACACAGCAAGTACCATGGAGACACTGGGGCCTTCATCTCCTGGAGCAAACAACGAAGGATGTGGTTAGAGGCTCATCTCTTTTTTGAAGCAGTCAGCACAAGTATTGTCTACAGTGCTAAGTAAAAGCTGGTCAGGGATTGATTCCTGGGTTTGGTGTCAAGTGGCACAGACTGACTTGCACCCGCACTGCATAGGATTAATTCCCTCTATATCATATTTCCCTGGAAGTGCACCAAAGCAAAGCTAGAGACTGAACCAACACCTGAGCCATGGACAGAGGTTAAGTAGTTGAATTTTCTTGCTTACTATGCAGTGTAGGGGTACCAACAGGGTCCCTCCCACCTCTCTCTCCGGCAGCTGAAGAGCTCCCTGATCTTCTTGACGCCTGCCAGGATTCATCCCCATGGCAGGATGGGGGATCCCTCCCCATGCACACAAAGATGAAGTATATAGAGTAGGGAGTCGGCAAGAAAAGTCCTTCCCCGTAGTCTGTAAAAAACCTTCTTTCTAAAAGAGGTTTCAAGACTTGGCAGTACAGAGCTGTCTAGTGGAAGATCTCTTATGAAGCAGTTGTAGTGGAGATGGCTAAGAAGACCCATTAACAAGCTCTGTGAACCATCTGGTCTACAAAGGAGCCTTTGCAGGATTCCAGGCATGCATATTGGTGCAGGGTAAGCAACAAAGGAGGCAGTAGAGCCCCTTTTAGAGGATGGGAAAGGAAACATGGAGAACATTTCTTAGAGACCATCGTCTGAAAAACAGAGGTGAAGCAGAGAAAGTCACAGTTAGAGGGACAGGAGAGAATGGGAATGGGTACCTCAGCTGTACAGACACAGGACTGTGGTACTACTGTCCAGCAGGTAGACACAGGGAATCTGTGGGGACAGGAGGTCCAGGACATCAGCAGATCTGCAGGCCACAAAAAGCTTGGTGTTTCCATCTTCACCAATGGCAGGTTTGATCTCTGCATACCAAGAAGCCCTCCTGTCACAAACTGCTTCAAGGTCTACCTCAGGGCTTTTCAAGAGGTCTAAAACAGGGAAGTTGATGTACACCATTTCTGAGGCTCCTGCTGCCAGAAGTTTTAGTAGTGAGGGAGCAACAGAGAGGCCATCATCTTCCTCAGCTCTCGGCCCATCAGTACTAGACCTTGTGGAACCTTTCACACAGCAGACCCAGTGGCAGCCTCAGCAGAAATTCGGAAAAGGAACTTTCTCTCAAAAGCAAAGGTGAGCTACTAGGCCTGCCATTTGCAATTTACTAACTGCAGAGGAGCACTTAGATCTTGCCAGCCTTGCCATAGCCAAAGGGATAGCCTAAGGGTGGCTCAGGGCACAGGGATGGCAGCATGTGGTGACAAGGGAGCACAGACAGGCATCATCTCCCTGGGAAGTACCTGGTCTCTCTTGCAGCACCTGGAATCATGTCAGCTGCCTCACTGAGATCCACACATTTGGTGGATTGCAGTGGGGTGAGAGAAAAGCTGCTCCTCCAGACAGTGGCTTAGGCCAATAGTATCTAGAAGATAAGTGGGGACATGATGAAAAGATGGCAGGGTTGCCATCATTTTTGCCTGTGCCAACCTGCAGCCTCATCAGAACCAATCTGATGTCCACTGAAGGAAACAGTAAGTGAAACCAGTTCAGGGATTGATGGAAAGATCCAGTGCAATCACAGGGGCTGACAAGAGGACTGGTATGGCAGTACTGCAGAGACAGGGCAGTATGAAAGACAGATGCACATTGATTTCCTTGGAGGTCTTATCCACTGCTGCAAAGGACCCTCTTTTCATATATTTGTGAAGGTTGCCAAAGCAGGTTAGGACAATACCTGTACTACTGCATGCATATTTCCTTGCATGTAAAATGATGTTGTATTTTATGGAGCAGATCATCTTGAGTGTCATCACATGGCACATACAGGAAACCACGTGATCAGGCCCAGTCAGCATGGGTTTATGAAAGGCAGGTCCTGCTTGAACCAACTTGATCTCTTTCTATGACAAAGTGATCAGCTTAGTGGATGAGGGAAAGGCTGTGGATGTTGTTTACTTTAGTAAAGCCTTTGACATTGTTTCCCACAGCATTCTCCTGGAGCAACTGGCTGCTCATGGCTTGGATGGGTGCACTCTTCACTGGGTAGAAAACTGGCTGAATGGCTGGGCCCAAAGTGTTGTGGTGAATGGAGTTAAATCCAGTTGGTGGCTGGTCACAAGTGGTGTTCCCCAGGTCTCAGTATTTGGGACATTTTTGTTTAATATTTTTATCAATGATCTGGACAAGGGGATTGAGTACACCCTCAGTAAATTTGCAGATGACACCAAGTTGGGCAGGAGTGTTGATCTGCTTGAGGATAGGAAGGCTATTCAGAGGGTTCTGGACAGGCTGGATTGATGGGCCGAGGCCAATTGTATGAGGTTCAACAAAGCTAAGTGCTGGGTCCTGCACTTGGGTTGCAACAACCCCATGCAACGCTACAGGCTTGGGGAAGGCTGCTGGGCCGAAAAGGACCTGGGGGTGTTGGTCGACAGCCGGATGAATATGAGCCCGCAGTGTGCCCAGGTGGCCAAGAAGGACAACAGCATCCTGGCTAGTATCAGAAACAGCATGGCCAGCAGGAGCAGGGAAGTGATTGTCCCCCTGTACTTGGCACTGGTGAGGCCACACCTTGAACACTGTGCCCAGCTTTGGGCCCCTCAATACAAGAAAGACATTGAGGTGCTGGAGTGTGTTCAGAGAAGGGCAACGAAGCTGGTGAAGGGTCTAGAGAACAAGTCTTATGAGGAGTGGCTGAAGGAACTGGGATTGTTTAGCCTGGAGAAGAGGAGGCTGAGGGGAGACCTCATAGCTCTCTACAACTACCTGAAAGGAGGTTGTAGCGAGGTGGGTGTTGGTCTCTTCTCCTAAGTAGCTAGCCATAGGCCGAGAGGAAATGGCCTCAAGCTGCGCCAGGGGAGGTTTAGGTTGGAAATTAGGAGAAATTTCTTCATGGAAAGAGTAGTCAAGCATTGGAACAGGCTGCCCAGAGAGGTGGTGGAGTCACCATCCCTGGAAGTGTTCAAAAAACGGGTAGACGTGGCACTTTGGGACATGGTTTAGTGGGTATGGTGGTATTGCGTTGATGGTTGGACTGATGATCTTAGAGGTCCTTTCCAACCTTAATGATTCCTAGTTTTTACTTTCATTAAAAAATAATCCAGCCACCAAGCCAGGAAACATGAAATTATTACTGTAGCCTTAATTGGTTTAGTGGTGGACTTGGTAGTGTTAGGTCAATGGTTGGACTGGATGACCTTGAGGGGCTTTTCCAACCTAAACAATTCTATGATTCTATGATCCCTCTCTCTAAATTGGGGAGATACAGATTTGACGGGTGGACTGTTCAGTGGATAAGGAATTAGTTGGATGGTTGCATCCAGAGGGATGGCTCAATGTCCAAATGGAGACTGGTGACAAGTGGAGTCCCTCAGGGGTATGTACTGGGACCAGTGCTGTTTAGTGTCTTCATCAATGACCTAGACAGTGGGATTGAGTGCACCCTCAGCAAGTTTGCAGGCGACACCAAGCTGAGTGGTGTGTTTGACATGCCAGAAGGACTAGATGTCATCCGTATCCTGGGCTGCATCAAAAGAAGCATGGCCAGCAGGTTGAGGGAGGTGATTTCTGCCCCTCTACTCTGCTCTGGTGAGACCCCACCTGGAGTACTGCATCCAGCTCTGGAGCCCTTAGCACAAGAAGGACATGGAACTGTTGGAACAGGTCCCGAAGAGTGCCACAAAAATGATCCAAGGGCTGGAGCACCTCTCCTATGAGGACAGGCTGAGAGAGTTGGGGTTGTTCAGCCTGGCTGAGAGAAGGCTGCAGGGAGACCTTATTGTGGCCTTTCCGTCCTTAAAGGGGGCCTGTAGAAAAGATGGGAAAATCTTTTTAGCAAGGCCTGTTGTGACAGGACAAGGAGTAATGGTTTTAAACTAATGGAGGGTAGATTTAGACCGGCTAGAAGGAAGAAATTTTTTACAGTGAGGGTGGTGAAGCACTGGAACAGGTTGCCCAGAGAGGTAGTGGAGGCCCCATCCCTGGCAACATTCCAGGTCAGGTTGGATGGGTCTCTGAGCAACCTGATCGAGTTAAAGCTGTCCCTGCTCACTGCAGGGGGTTTGGGCTAGATGACCTCTAAAGGTCCCTTCCAACCCAAAGCATTCTATGATTCTATGTTTCCTTTGGTTAACACAAGCGTAGATTTGATGACTGAGGTGCTCCCCTTAAATCCCTTGTGGATCCATAGGGCCAAGAGTCTCCAGACCTTATGTATTCTTGGGAGACTTTTACATGCTGCCTCTCAGCACCTACCCATCCTTTCCTTGATCTGATTTCTGTTTACTGTTTTTCCATTCACACACATAGGCACTTCTCATTCATGCAAATTCACCCAATGTGGGCTTTTATGACAGAATTGCAGTACCTGAGCTGATCCATAAGCCAGCATGTGTCCAACAAGACACTTTCCTATCCCATGATTTCAGCTTACAGCAGTAATCCTTACTTCCAATCTCTTTGGACACAGTTCTCTTGTATCTATGTGAAATTTATATGTTATGGTTGCTGCACATTAAAACTTAGGATTTTAAAATATGTCTGTGACACTGTGACATAGCTAAGAGGCAAACAGCTCTTGCCTGATTGTTTTAATTCCCTCTATCACATGCTGACATAGTACTTCCCCTCAAATGACAGGAACTGTATCCCTATAGAGCTCTGTTTTTCACACTTTTGACTCCAGGGGCACACAGTTTTCCAATTAAAATTGGCAGAGTGTAGCAAATTTTTGTCTGTAATTTGTTGGTCTCCACCCAGCACAGCCTGACAGCATTCCAGTGATGTTCATCCTGCAGCTGCTTTTGCTGCCCCTTGGCTGCTTATCCCTGTCGACCTCTCTAGCATGCTAAAGGTAGGCAGGTGAACGAGCTACTGCCCCAACACTGTGGCAACTGTTGTTCTGTAGTGTTCAGGATGAGCTGCTGTACTCTCTGCTTACCAGACAGTGCCATCACTAAGGGCTTCTGGCAAGCTTTCAAACTACTAGGCTTACAGGTATAGACAAATTCTTAAATATCTGTCCTGCAGTGCTATTAAATGGATTTAATCAGAATATGAACCCTTGTGTACAGAACGCTGTACACCTTTCTGTAAGCCTCCTCCAGGTCTTAAGACCTTCAGTCCCATATATCTATGAAAGTGGGTGAGGAAGATAAACACACAGACATACAAACTTATGTCTTGTGGTCCAAAGTTAATACAGGCTGCTTCAAAACTTGTTTTGGGGCTATATAAATATATGTGTCTTTGAACTGCTGTTATCTTGAAACAAAACAAAGGTGGAGCTAAGAGATGGAGCTAATACACTTAATGCTAAGGTAAAGATGGGGGTGTCTGAAGGAAAAAAAGCAGTTAGGAAGGAAACCACTTTCTTCCTTACTCAGGCTGTGCTGGAGGGATTTTGAGTTTCAGAGAAATGAGATGTATCCTGTGGTTAAGTTAAACCTGAGCTTTGAGAAGGATTAATCTCTGTATCTCAAACTGACAATGGTTTAAACAAACATCTGAAAGGAAGTAATCTGGAGTGGTATTTATCTTTGTGAATCTCTATGAAAGTATTTTTCAGAAACTTCCAAAAGTTAGTCATACATTTTGTTACTTTCTTGTGGGCCCAAATGCTTTTGGAGAAGTGGCAGTCAGAAATTTTCCAATGAAAGTATGACCTGAGGAAAACGTACTTTAAAGGAATATATATATTTGACAAAATTTGGTTTTAGAGAGGGCTCAAGTGCAAGCCAATATGAGTTATATTGTAAGAAAAGTTAAGATGTCATTCAGTTTCAGAATAAACTATATTTTGATCTTATGATCCATTGAATGTCTCTGTCCCCAAGAGTTAAACAAATTGAAAGTAAAGTTTTAGTGACTTCTTTGAAGATATTTTCAGTGCACTTTCTCTGAGACATTTTAGTTTATACATGGAAACTTTGGTGGTTTCTTTTTGTGGCTATTATTTCTTTCTG